AAAAACGAAAGAGGGGGGCGCAGTCAGAGGGAGCGAGGCTCAGTGTGCTAGTGTGCAAATGCATGGCTATTAGTATATGCGTTTTGTGAAGATTCAATGTGAAAAGATCTACGTCGAAAAAAGTTATAAAAATTCAAAACTTGCGTAACTACATTGAAAAGTGGGCGGAGTCATATATGTGTCGGTACCAAACCAATTCAGTTGAAGTATGTGTGTCAAATAGCAAAAGTGAAAAAAATTCGAAGAAGCAGAATTCATAAAACATTTTGGAAAACCATGACCGCGCTAAGAAGTGGGCGGGGATGTTGGGGCGGGGCTTGCAGCATCGCAGAAATACATCCTTTCCAGACGCGACTTTGAAGCAGAAAAAAAAACCTGCAAAACCCACTTCTGTCCCAAACTCAGGCGTCGAGAGAAACGAAGAAGTCCAGTGGCTGTACGGCTTCCTTGATAAAATCAATCTGACAAGTCCGGCAAGTTTCGTCAGCTGTAAAGATGTTTTCAAAAAATGTAAACAACACAAAAATCATATTTTCCTACCTTGATGGACAAATTGGCCTTCTTTCCAAACACCGTGGTGACATCGATAGATGTTTCAAGGCCGCCAGTGTAATCCATATCAATAAGAAGAGTGATCTTCTGAAGACAAGAACTCATCATTTTCGGAAAATCGATGTTAATGCCAAAGTGAAGCCATTGGGGAGTACTGGCCAATTACGTACTACAGTAAGACTTTTCAACATTGCTTTTCCCCTAGAGCTCAACTTATGGAAATTTGGGCTTGATTTCCTTCAAAAACGGTGTGTGAAACTGGGCAGCAACTTGTTGCTGGACAAGCTTAGAACACGAAAACCACATCTGTTTAGGCACCACAGGCGCCTGTGTTCGTAACGTACGATTTTTGATCCCCTTCTAAAAACTTCCTTCCGCATCCTACTCCCAACTTCCTGAATTTTTATAACTTCCTTTCACTTTTCAAAGTTGTCGAAATTTTCGAGTTGTTCCCAAAAAATGTTGCCGTCCACCGGGGGGAGGGGATAGATGGTAGTAGCGCACGCAAAACAGAAGAACCTGAAAATCCAACAACTAAAAAATCTTCCTCATTACGACACCTCCCTCCTTGCAGCGACCAAATGCGGCCTCCGCCTCACCGCTAGGGATCCCCAACGCACGACGTGCCCTAGGTGTGACAGACATGCTTTCAGTAAATTTGGCGTACAGAAGTGCTCCGGTGCCGCCGCAAAGTGCTCCGGTGCCGCCGCTTGTGACCGCTTATTAACAAATGGATGTGATATTCGAGCTCGAGAAGTTCTAGCGCCGAGCAGGACAGACAGACAGATGTAGAACGTGTCGGTTTTTCTTCTCCTATGGTCTTGGAGTTTAGACATAGAAAACGTTGTTTCTCAATTATCGCGAGATCTTATCAGGTTGGCGAAAAGCCCATGGCTTCCCAGATCTATTTTTCTCTTAGGGCCTTTCGTTTGTATAGGTGATCCGCCAACAGTGTGGGGTGGGGCGCATTTGGTCGCTGCGTGAGGATGGTCGTATTTTTCGGTAAGAGAAAATTTTTTTTCATAGTTGATTTTTTTGTTTCTGGGACGTTGTAAAGGGAGGGGTCATATTTGCTCGTCGTTGGAAAGGGAGTAGTAGTTCCCTTTCTGAAAAGGTGTTGTTTTCGTGCGTTTCGCGCGTTTTTGTGTGTACTGTACTGTATACCCCCCGCGGGACAGCAAATTGCAAAAATTTAGGCAAAAGCAAGAAATTTTTGGCGACTACCGGAAAAAGTGCTAGGAAGTCAAAGAGAATTCAAGACATGGTAGTAAGGGAGGGGGTCGTAATCTTCCTCACGTACCCCCTGCTCGAGAGCTCGATGGGGAGGCAAAACTAGGTGGGGGGTCGTTGAAAAACCCCCTAAAAAGGGGGGGGGAGGGGCGGTCGTACGGACTCGACCAAAACCCCTACCTTATGATGTGCCCTGATTTTCTCCGATATTTGTTGACCAATTATGAGGGTCATCGGATAGAGCTGGATCCCAGCATTCGCTCGTTACGAGGCTTTCAATGCCTGCATTGCTATCGTTTTTAACAGAAGTTATGAATACGAAAGTGAATACGAAGGAAGGTTGTCGCCACCCATTAAATATTAGGTTGGCGGGAAAGTTCTGTCATATATTTTTGAACCCAAAATATTTGCTAATTTTCTGAAAAGCGTTAACCGGTAATATGAGCACTTATACATCAAAGAATGGTCTTTCTATTGGTATCACTGGCTTGACTCCTGCCTCTCCTTATCGTGCAATATGAACAAGAATGTTATCCGCTACCTTTGGCACCGACCCCTCCAAGTGCTTCCTCAAACTCTTTCTTCTACCGCCCTGGCGCCAGCATGACAGCTGTCGACGCCGAAATAACGGAGCTGCACATGGACAATGTCTACAGTCATCTGACAATCTTCCACGACGCTGGCTCTTCAGAGCGGGAGGCTACGGTGCGAATGGCGAAGTGATGTTTGGGAGTACCTGTGATCTCAGCTTGAGATAGCTGTGGGCCGGGAAACTACTGTATAAAGAAGCTGTCTCCTCGGTTAATCCGTACGCAAGGCAGCTACGAGATCTGAAGCGAATCGTCAAGCAGAGGGCAAAATCCATCGGCACAGTCCGTCTTCAACGTGCTGGTGCAGCACACCCCGTCAAAAGAAGTTCGAGCCGTACTTCATGCAATGGAGCTGGATGGCTCTCCCCTTGCAATGATGTAGTCCAGACATTGCTCTTTCTGGCTGCTAGTCAACTCCTGTATTCAACCGTTGCACAGCCGAGAAAACCTCCACGACTTGAGCCCAAGTCAAAGTTGAGATGATGTCCAACATTGCGTCGTGCCAGCCTCCATTGTGAAGCGATGGCATCCACGAAGTGCTCGAAAACTGGCAGGGATTCCGCAATGACATTGCTGTATAATTTTGATCTTGTACGCCTCTCTATAAAAAGAAAGCCTTGTTTGAAAAAATGTGACAGAAACTTTCCCGCCACCTAATATTCACTGGAGATAACTTTTGACAAATTTCGGTACCACAAACGTTTTTCACCTACAATGAGCATGCACTCAGTGTAAAACAACTTAAGATAAGACAAAAAATAGCGAAATAAATAGAAACAATAATGAAGGCAAAAAACAAAATTAAATTCAAATGCATGAAAATTACCTCAAAGATATTCTTGTCCTCGGACATCTCCACATTTTCGACTCGGATAGCATTTATTCGGGGGAATCTCGTGCCAAGGGACAGATCACGAATGCGGATTTCCTAAAATCTTCTCAAAAGTGCATGAGAACAACGAAACAAAAAGGCAAGAACAAGAACTATAGTAAGTTAGAAAAGCATTTTTTGAGTACAAGAGTACTGCGAAGCACATCCTTTTCCCGTCAAAAATGTAATATTACATTGCCTTTGCGTTCCCTCTGGAATACAAATTGAGAAGAAAACTCTGAACTGTCCATTACCTGTATCAGGCGCCCAGCTGCAGATCGAGTGCTAATATCGTTGAGTTCTATTTGCAAACGTTTATGGAACCATCTGAATAGATTATTTCAACCCTTGTAAATGCACTGTAAAACTCAGTGAAACCATTGTTTTCCTTTTCAGAATCATTCTTTGGAAACCACGAGATATTATTTTGATAAACCTGCTTCTTATGGAAAAGCACAGCCACTCGAGGAGTAACAAGCACCCTTTAGCGCTCGCAAGTGCTATGTTTCTTCAAAAGAAGGCTTTTTATGTAAAAGACGGTCCCTGCGCTCAAGCAATTCGTAGGCGCTCTTCCTTACCGTACAAATAATCTGGCCCTGAATCTCTAAGATTGTCGCGGATTCACGGGAAGTACTAAAGGTCCTCTTTCAAAAGTGGCAGTTCTGTCGCCTCCCTAGTTATCCCGCACACCGAAACTCAATTTTATTCACGAAGTCACAATGTTTTTTTTTCGTTTTTTTGACTGTTATATGATATTAGCAGTGGAGGACACAAACGGATTAAAGAGGGAGAAGCAGCAGGATATCGTTTGCTGGCATAACGAGCAGGGCTGGAGAACTCGTACAGATAGGCCACTGGGTCCTTACTTAGGGTCTTTTTGAGTCTAGTTTTGTGATTTTTTGCTTTTTTCTTACCAGGAGAATCATTTAGTGACTAAAGTTTTGTCACTGAACGTCACCACCCACAATATACAATAGCGGGGTTTTTCTTTAAGTACACCTCAAACAACTGGTTCCCTTTGAAAAAGAAAACAAAGGAGAAATATACGGCATTCTCAGGGGCACAATTCTATGAAATGACAAAAGCAATCTCATTAAGACACTTCCCGCGACCAACAGTCACTGAGGTGTTAAAAAACTAAACGCGAAACTATCAATATTTTCACCTTCAGCTCAGCTTTTATGCCACTAGTAGTCTGGGGTCAGCTCTTCTGCTAAAGGCACGGTCCAAAAATGATTTGTGAGGCTCAAGTACTGATAACAAGATGGTATATAACAAAAATAAAGCAAAAAAAACAGTAAAATTCGCCCGAAACGCCCCATATAGAAACTAATGCTGAACCGCGGTTGTATGTGCATAAGGCGAAGAAAGGGCGAGCTTGGTCGGACGAGTTCTCACGTTGATGCCAGCTGTGTCTTCAGGTCTTTTTCTCGATTCAATAACTCCGGGGTGGATGCCAACTATTGTCAAGTCCGCATGCGACATGTCGAGGGGCCTTATTTGGGGCCCGCTCCAAGCAGCTTCACAGAGTCTGGAGCTGGAGGTCGACTTAGCGAACGGTGTTAAGACCCGCGCGAAGTTCACGAATGCACCATTCCGAGAGCTATCAACTTCTTGATTGAAAAATGAACTCTGATGCAAAGCCTTCACGCCACCAATGCAATACTGAAATCCGCTCACCTTCTAAGTAGTCGCGTGTCCTTGTGCTCTTGGAATAACATATGCAGTAAAACTGACATGGAATGACACGATTCCCATCGCGATATCCCTTGACCATCATCGCCAGTCTTGAGGAAATCGCGTAGTTCCTGGAACAAAGCCAGTATTATCTAGCGGGATAAACAAAACAAGTAACTGCCAGTAATACTGCCTTCTTCACGCAATTCTTTCCTGCATTCCATACTTTGAACATCTTCCTTAGCCCCATTTGTGATCCAGGCTGCCTCCCTTGTTTATCTCACCCGCTCCCTCGTTCACATCTTTGTGCCTTCAATGCAGACTTGTTCTCGCCCTTTTCACACTTTTTTTTCATAAACAGCTTCCAATCATGTATGAGATGAGACGCCTTTGTCGCCGATACCGTAATGCCATCATCAAAGGCATAAGGTCGGATAATTTGGTGCTCGCTCCGAAACGCAAGGGAAGGGTCAAAAAAGCGAAGTGAAAGGTCAAAAACCTGCAAAAGAGCCTCTGTTCTATACGACTCAGAGAGCGATTCCGTACGAGTTTCCCGTTGGAATCGTGCCAATAACGCTAAGATCGTTGGATATGGGTGAATGTTTTGCACTCTTAAATCATGCAGCCACGCTCCCTTCAATTGTCCCTTCGCTTCATTACTTCTTTCACAAATGAAGCGAACGACTCCCACTGCTCGACATATGTTAGGTTGTGGGGCTCCGGATCAGTACGTTGCAGCTTAATAGGGCGCTATAAAGTACCTTCTATAAAAGCGAAATGCGCCTTCTCAAAGCTGCCGAATTTTTATCTCTGCTAGGGTGTTAATCCCACCATGTCGTGAAACATCAGACTGCCACTGCCTTTAACAGTTCACTAACGATCTTAAATGATTAGCACTTGACTGCAACACTCTTGAATTGATGTAAACTTTCAATAAGCAAGGCCAAACCAAACAAGCACTTCACAGGTCACTGCACGACAAGGTAATGCCATCTCTCATCGCCAGACTCGAGACGACCCACAGTATTCGTATCAGCTAGAAAAAGCTGCATACTGTTACCGAGTGTCACCATGGAGTTCCTAAGACTCCTCCACTCCTAGCTCAGCACTCTACATACAAAGCATGAGGTGTCATTGTAAATTCTCATGTCCAAGTAATTAGTGGTTTTTTATGAAAAGGGCGCGTCGTTCAGATCACCCTTATCAATATTTTTCAGGCAAGATTCGCTGCGACAATCAGAAACAAAGTTTTCACTCAGTTACCCTCCACTTGTCTTCACGGTCAGCAATATAATACGCCCCCTTCGACCTCCTCGTCACCACCTTGCCCCTTTTTCTCCAAAACCTCCATACTTGAGTACACTTCCACGATTACAAATCCTAGCTCTTTTTGCGGTCAAATGTAATTAAATGATAAGCCCACACTGACCTAATCGTCCTTGAATAAAAGTAGTACAATAACGGTCTGTATTCGGGTTCTGACACCTTTGAACAATCCAAATTATGCATCTTTATAAAGACATGCAGAATCAAATACGTTACTGAAACTTAAACGACTCAAAATATTATAAACGATAAAAAAGTACCTTCGGTATCTCGACTGGTCGATATTGGTCGATGAACGGTGGTGGCGGTAATTTTGGTCCCCATGGATCGACAATCAGAACAAAAATAATAAAAAGGACGAGAGCTGCGCCGAATAACGCTCCCAGAAGGAAAGCTAGCATTCGATCGCGAGATACGCGCGCGTCAATGACCAATTCTTCCGCCTCTGGGTATGCGAACTGGCATATAGGGAGGCCTGACTGGCCTCACCTGCAAATATTAATGTTAGCGATGTACACGTCTGCAAAGAAACGGCCATATGTCAATAACAGGCATTGCACACAAGTACACATGAATTCTGGGAAATTAGTGCAAGGCATGACGGCATAGAAAAGGTCAAGTTGGGCAAATGACTGGAAAAAGAAGGAATCCTATCACTCTTTAGTGCTTCATGGGACAACGAGACCTATCGGATGACACCTAAATTTAGCCTATGAATAGATAATGGCTGTGATGGACAGGAACGCGCTCCTGAAGCTCTACAGCTGCACTAATAAAGTTCCGTCGGAGAATTTACCATCGAGAGCTCCTCACGAGCTGGCCAATCACATACATAAATAAACAGAAACAATGCTATAATTGAACTATCCCTGAGCCTCATGTGATTGAAATCTTCTTTTGAAAAATTGAGGACTCGCTCAAATGCTTTATTGGTGAGCTTTCGCTGTACTAACAGCTTCGTCAGACCAGGACGATTAACTTGTCCACAGTAAATG